ATCTACCATCTTCAAATATAAACACATTTACTCTATCAAAACTGTTCATAGGTATATTTTTAGGCAGTTATTAACAATTACCATATTAATAATACCTCCGTCATCAAATCTATAAACATTTAATTTACTAAAATTGAAGGTCCAATAATTATAAACCCTCTCACATGCATGGAGAAGAAAAATGCCTTAATAGATTGCTAATAATCTATACCGTCTGAAACAAAACATAACATAATAAAAAAGTATGAATATTGTGCACTGGAGGTATGTTCACTACCACACATTACCATTCTTAGTTCAAACTTATTCGTTGCAGAAAAGAGTTGGATACCACTTTCATAAAAAGAACCTTATATTATGGATCACTTGCATGGAATTTTATTATCCACAAGTCCACAACTTTTGTTGGAAAATGAATACTAAAACTATGATTTTTTCTGCATAAAAAGCACAATGCAGTTCAATTATTTCTAGAACACAGCCATTCCCAATTATAAAATTTCCCTACTACCCCAAACTACGCAAAATCATTTATGAGCTTCTTAAGGAGACTAACTATTAGGAATAAGCAGTTATCACAATAGTGATAAGATTTCTCTACTAAATAAACAAAGCATCACATACAATCAACATCACTCAAACCAAACTCAGTAATTGAGCTGATATCTAGCTATATAAATCTATTACTCACTCAAATACAACCTTTAAAACATCTTTTAACATGGTAGTGCCTTTTTCTATGGTTACCTTTAGAACGTGTTTGAAATACATATCTTTAATCATCATTGTATGGAAGCTCTAAGAAATTGCTTTAGATTGGTTTGTATTATAAATAAGACTCGCACATTTGTCTCTCCAAATCTCAACAATATCTCACCTGTCGTCAATGTTGGTACTTGGTATTCTTAACTTAGTCTTAAGTTATTTCCAATTGCCATGAGTAATAATTTCATGAAGAAGGCGAGTAAGAAGTCATTTTTAAATAATAATAAAAACAACAAAAAAGAAGAAGTTTGCATTTAAAAAAAATGTCTTCAGCCCAATATCTTATCTTTCCTTGGGTTCAATTGCCACAGCTTAATGAATGAACCATTAACTCACTATCCCATTTAATCCCATCAAGTGATGAGAACTATCATGTAAGTTTTCAGCATCTAAAGAAGTTATCATATCAATTATCATCCTAACAAATTACAAAATGTTTAACTGCTAAACTGTCCATACAAAACTACAGTCTTTAGGCAGCTGAAAAACATATCAAAAATAGGTCCTTGAGAGTGGAAGTATAAGCGCAGTTCAGATTTAGGTTTATCAGTCTATTGGCTAAAGATAAGAAACCTTTTAAGCATAGCATCTATGAGTAGCATGCTAACAACAAGCCAGATTCCCCATGATAACAAACATCACCTTCTCATCAGCTAGTATTTATTGAAATTATTTATTACCTTTGGATACACTCGTTCATCTTCTAGTTTTCCATCTAAAATCAAAAGATTGGCGGGGTGGCTTTAATTTGTTCCTCTAGGAGGAAGTGTAGTCCATACCTCTATGCTAGGGATGAAAGAGGGATGCTGTCAGAACATGTCTTCTAACCCAATGTGTGAGTAACACCACTCTTTAAATGAGCTGCTAGTAGCAAGACCGCAAAAGTCAATAGGTACATCACAAATAGAGAGATCTTGAAGGTCTGCCATGGAAATGAAAAAGTACATCCATTAGAAAAATTAAGAAATGAAGATGCATGCATTCATCATCATCAACAACACATGAGAAAGTTTTGTGAAAATAATACCTGTTAAGATTAAAAGAACTCCCAAGAGTCAATCTAGAAAATAATATCTATTAAGAAAACCATGCACTTTATACTACTCCATGACTGCCACTTGAACATCCTGAATAAGTGCAGAAAAATAGAACTCCCAAGAGTCTATCTGGGAAGCAACGTATATATATGATCTAAATCCAAGCTAGAGAACCTCGGTCATTAGTGCCTTGATCGAGATTAAAATTCAACAAAATATTCCAAATCAGATTAAAAAAAATCAACGAAATATTCCAATGAGGGTGTTTGATATTTTCCTTCTTGCTTAATCTTGTTTTAAATGAAAAGCAATAACTCACTTTAATAGACTGTTTCTTTAGAATTTTAGAGGAGAGAAGACCGTTGATATTTATTCTTACATCAAAATGCTAAGGTAGTTCAGATTTCAAATAAGATTTAGTTCATTCACAACTTTATTTGAGACTATATGCTAACAACATTTAGCACATGACCTCATGCACAGTTTTATTTGAAAGCATACAGTAAGTATTTTTTGAGTAATTAAGAAACCTACTTCTTAACCTATAGAATCATATAGTTTTTTTACACAGCCAGGAAGCACAACTACTGTGTGACATTCTAGGATATACCCTGAAAATGGCTAAAATAGATGGTATAAGGATTTAAATATTCAACTCCTTGAATTACATGGAATTGTGATGAGAAGAAAGAAACCATTTTAGTAGTTAAAACTACTTAATACTACTTCTGTGAGTCCATTTAGTAGTATAAAATACTTCTAAGACTCTGTTTAGTATCTCAACTACTTGCAAAACCACTAAACACAACTTTCTGGTGTCACCATGTTCGTGTGACCTATATTAACATGACATTCTTAAAGCCCACAAGCATTTCAATCTAACCGTGTTCAAATCTCAGGGTGTTTAAAAAACAGAAAAGAAAAGACTAAATATAATAAACTTAGAAATTTACATCCCTCAAGAAACAAATCACATGGCTGCAACTTATGATTTCACCGCCTTTTTATTGAATATATGTTGGCATAACTATCAGTTAATTATGTTGTTGAAATGAAGTTGAACTATTTAACAAGATGATGTTTGCACTGATACTTAACAATAGAGTATCAACACTTGTAAAAATGTAAAGTTAGTGGCTAACTTCTTATTTGATGACAATTTTTATAAAGTTTGTGCCTGAAGCTTGCAACCTGACTTTTATGGGTATGCTCTGAAATTTAGCCAGAAAAATAAAAAGGTATGGAAACCCCACCATCCCAATTTATATATCCCTGCTTATCACCTATTCTTGGTAATGCTCTAAGTATCATTTCATTCTATCCCAAAGATGAAATCAATATTAGACGAAGTTTCCCAAGACTATTGGTGAATGAATCTGTGATTATCATTCTTAAAGATTTCATAGCTGCACTTATTCTTTCATAACTTAAAAACATGGGGAAACGGGTTGGGAAGAAACCTTTTGACCCAAATATAGTGCAATTGAGTAAAGAAAGGTGAATACGAACAAAAACAAAAACATGGGGAAGCGGGTATAACACATACCAGGAAAAGAGTAAGCAATAGGCTGACTTTTATCAATTAAATTAATTTTCTCCTTTCCCATGTATGAAAAAAATTAAATTACATTTTCATATTAACAGGGAAATACTGTAAAAGCCGAAATGCTAATGAAGGGATAACCAATAATCATTATTCAATATTTCAATTCATGTTAAACAAGCATTCACATTGAGTTACCAGACAAGCATGATGTGTAGAAGAGCGAAAGGGGTTTTGGATTCTGGTAGTAGTCGAGCAAGGCATCTGCGAAACGGGCGAAGAGCAGATTGATCGATTCTGCGAGCGCGAAGAGCAGAGAGAAGAGGCAGAGAGACTTCTAATTCGGGATTCCCTTTCTTTGGTTCATCATCATCTCGATTCGAACTCCACAATTCCCTATAGCGGGGACCAAGAGTCGAGGTCTGGCAGTCTGGCTAATCAGCTAGCCGGTCATAGGGGGGTTGCGCGGGTGACAGGATGAGGCAACCCTTGAACACTTCAGGGAACGACGACAAACTGCGTTTCTTAACGGAGATGTACGCACTTGGAAAAGGAACAAATAATTAAGCACATAGTACAACGCAAGTAAGCTATAAAGATCCACCAACAAATTTTTTATACCTAAATTAGGCTTACCTGCATTCATGCTTATTATTTTGTAAAGAAATGTTTCTCGGCTTTTCGTTAAAAAAGCTAAAAAGAGTGTTTTCAAGTGACAATTTCTACTTAAAAAAAGTGTTTCTCGACTTTTGGCTGAAAAATATTTTTTTACTTTATCTATTACACAAAAAGCACTTATTTTACCAAACACGATCAACTTTTACTTTTCAAAATCACTCTTTTCTTAAACACTTTCAACTTTTTACTACTCATCACTTTTTCCAGCATCATTTAAAGTGTTTTTTTAAAACAAAAGCATTTGCAAACACTTTCTTAGTCTAGGCCTTTATCCGTCCAAAATCTCGTAAATCTAACACAAATTTAAAAAATTAACGGGGTCTTTGCACAACCACACCATTTTGTCAGAAGCGTATACCATACAGCTGGTTGTACGGCTGACACCGTACAGCCGGTGACAGTTTTGTAATTTGATGAAATATAGAGATGTGTTTGTTTTTAAAGTCCTATATTTTCTTCTACTTCTTCTTAATGTATTTTCATCATCAAGAATATTACGGAAAGGCATATCTCCAAAAAATAACAAAACAAGAAAAAATTGTTACTTGAGTTATGGTTTCCAAAATACATTAAGGGTTGGTTTGCAACTGCTTTTAAAAAAGCACTTCTCAGCTTTTGGCTTTAAAAACACTTATTTTCCCAAACACTACAACTTTTATTTTTCTCGGCTTCCGCGTCAAAAGTGCTTTTACTTTTTCTATTACACAAAAAGCACTTATTTTACCAAACACTACCCACTTTTACTTTTCAAAATCACTTTTTTCTTAAACACTATCAACTTTTATTTAATCACTTCTCCTCATTTCATTAAAAAAAATACTTTTTTAAAAGCAGAAGCTGTTGCAAACAGACCCTAAGTAATGGTTAGATGATTAGGTAAAGTTCAACATCTCTATATTTGATTTGATGCACAACGATTGTGCAGCTTAAGGATTGTCAATTGTGAGGGAAAAGTGGGCTCCAGCCCAGCCCAATTTGTTTTTGTTAGTATAGGTATAGATTTTGTTATCAGCCCACCCCAAAATTAATTCTCAACCCACAGGCCACAGCTCAGCCCCTGACTTTAGAAGAAGATCGGAAGAAAGAAAATCGAAGAACCAAGAGCTTGGCAGCTTGTGACGACCGGCGCTCCAACCTGTGACCTGCGACCCTTCGCCGTCCACGCCTCTTCGTCTTCGTCCATCCAGACTCCAGCGTCCTTCCTCTCTCGCCTCTCAGCTCTTCCTCCATCTCTGGCGCAGGTGAGTTTTTTTTTTTTTTTTTTTTTTTTTTTTTTAATTTCTTAATGTATTATTTTGTGGTTGTGTTAAGACTGTTAACTTGTATTATTATTTTTAGCCTTTAGAGTGTTAGGGTTAGTCCGTTAGTTAATCAATTTAATTATTAGTTGAATTTTTCAGTGCATAATAAAACAGGGCAAAAATTCACCATAGATTTATAATGATTGAAGATGGAATTAAATCTTAGAGAATGATTTATTGATTACTCAATTGAAGAGAATGATTTATTTGTTGTAAACAACTAAAATCAAATTCAAATATAAACAACAATAAGCAATAAAATGCAACAACAAGAAACACAATGCAACAAAAAGAAACAAATATAATGCAACAAAAAGCAACAACAAGAAACACAATGCAACACAAAGAAACAAATATAATGCAACAAAAGCAACAAAAGATAACATATAAAACAATCACAATACATATATAATTCAATTGATTACATTTATCAAGTATGTTATTTGGCTTTGCTTCTTATCATATTCTCTTTTAATACACCTTAACACATACTTCCTCATATTTGTCTCTCTTGTCTTCTTTTCCTCATTAATCCTCCTAATGATGTTATCACCTTCATGCGCCTCTTTTACTCTTATGCATCTGCAATAAAAATTCAATTACATAGTAATTTTCTATAACAATTCACTTCAACACTGGGAAGTATACAATTATTAAAACTGTAAAAAGTAAGAATATGATTGCTATGACGAGACAATTAAAAATGATTAACAATTAGTTTCCCTTTTTCTGTAACAAATTTCCCCAATGTTTGCAAAAAAAAATAAGCTACTATAAAAAACAACTTATAATATGCTGCACTGGTAATATTTATAATCACAAGGTCTAACCTCTCCCAAAGTTTCGCTACCGAAAATGAAGCTACAATAAAATATTATTGAACCTGTAATGCTCCTAATCATACTGATCATCAATCCATAAGCAAGAAATAAGATGACCTGAACTATATATGTTCTTCCACCTGATCAAAAACATCTTCAACTGCTTGAGAGTAAATTTAACATCTGGAAGTCCTTTAACATCTTTTAATGCATCACTTTTCTATAAAGTTAGCATCTGCTTTAGAATACTCCCTCTGTCCCACTAAGATTGTTCCATTTTACCTTTTCGGGAAGTCCCACTAAAATTGTCTCATACCAAATTTGGTAAAGTTTGTGTGGGTCTAAATCATTCCTACTTTATTCTTACTTTATCAATTTAATATCAACCACACAAACTCATTTTTCTTAATTACCGTGTCACCTTCTCATGTCCCAATCTTAGTGGGACGGAAGTTGTCACGCTCCAGACCGCGTCTGAGCGCGTGTACAACCGCCGTATGACTAAATGACGTCACCCGCGAGTCAACGTGACTTGGTCACACAAGGCGTCCATGAACATAGTCCATACCATACTCAGTAAGTAAACATACATAACAACATCACATATTTGGATTGAATGAATAGTGGAAATATTCAATATTCAATCATGGGCCACACATGGCAAAAAATGTAGGCGCGCAGACCCAAAACAAATGTATTTATTACAAAGTATCCATGAGCATAGTTTATAGTTTAAAACAGTAAAGGAAGCACGAACCACATCTTCCTTTGGAACTCTTCACCGAGCAAGGTGTGGATAGCTAGCCTTAGCTTCAACCTGAAATGGTGGGCCCCCCCGAAGGGGTCAGTACAAGTACCGAGCGAGTAGCAAGCTAAATGTAGAATAACTAACGTTTCAAGTATAAGACCCAAACATAGGGTGATACATATGCGTATAGTCTTTTCCCCAAGTTTTGAAATACATATTAGTATATATACACTTGGAAATACCCGGCCCGTAGGTCATTGTTTATTTGGGAAAACAATAGAAGCCAATGTCCTTGATTTTAATCCCAACCCACCCATATACCTATGAGTGTATAAGACTCCTCCTTGTTCAAATAAATTATCATAGGAACACCACCCGGTCCTAGATTATTAAATGTAATCTATGAGTTTTGAGGATACACGCCCGATCCTTGGGTACTCTACCCTATAACCGAGTTTTGAGGATAACCGCCCGATCCTTGGGTACTCCACCCTATATAACTGAGTTTTGAGGATAACCGCCCGATCCTTGGGTACTCCACCCTATATAACCGAGTTTTGAGGATAACCGCCCGATCCTTGGGTACTCCACCCTATAACCGAGTTTTGAGGATACACGCCCGATCCCTGGGTACTCCACCCGACCTATGACTTACCACATATCTCACTAGATAGGGTCTATATCATATTATTACGAAAGACTAAACCCAGACTTAGAATTCAATCAATAAATATCAACCTTGACATTTAAATATCATATTCCATGCAATTCCATGCACAATATACACACATAGGTTGTACAGGGTCAACCCCCCTTCGAACCGGGCCCCGATTCGCGTTTTTGGCGAAAACGCAACATGGAGGCAGCAGCTTACCCGGCCCCGGGTATGCCCTATACCCGGCGCCGGATATGTTCGGAGTTTTGGGTCAACGACCCGTTGACCCCCGAGTTGACCCCCAAAACGTGATCCGTTTGATCCGAAATTTTTATACAACTTATATCATGTCTAAAAAAATCAATAAATACCATTTTGGCCATCCAAAACATCACATATGTTTTTATATATATATTTTCTACTTCCCACATGCATAATCATGTAGTTTCATTCACATAAGCCTAATCACCTTGGCTAATCACATGCTTAAACTCTTTTAAACATCATTATGAATACTTATAACATTCATTTAGGTAATCTCATACTTAACCCAAGAGTTATAAGACATTAAGCCGTCCACTCACCTCGAATGAGCGTTATGAAGTTCTACCCTTCTTGGTTGAACTCCGATGAAACTCCGGCGAACTTTGATGAACTCCGGCGACAACTCCGGCGACTCTTTCAACTTCGTGAAAGTTCTTAAATCACCCTTTGGAAGTGCCTAACAAGGTTTTATCATCACAAAACCCAAATCAATACAAATAACCTCCAAAAGGTTATTTTCCGGCGAACCGGTCTCCTTGGCTTCTAAGTCCGTTCTTGGACCTAGAACTACCTTCCAACCCTTCATTCCACACTTTTAACATGTGGAACTACTCCAAGGGTATTTCATATGATCTATAACTCATATGAAAATCAAAACATTGGAGAAAAGTTGTTCAAGAGCTTCTTACCTTTCTTCCCACGGTTTTTCTCTACTTTTGCAACTCCTTCTCCTTCCTTGAGTTCCTTGCCCTTGGAGCTTTCTTCAACAATGGAGATGGAGGTTTTCAGAGCTCACCCTCTCTCCTTGGTGTCTTGGTCGAAGTTGGGTGATGAGAGAAATGGGGTGGGTTCTCCTTTTTGGCATACTTGCCATATGAGTGTGAGAGGGGTCCCTTAGGTGTCAAGATGGTCTCCCCCACCCCTTCAAGGGTTTTCAGCCCCATTTGCACTCAATCAAGTCTCCAAGAATTGACAAAACTGTGGGGTGGCCCCCACACATGTGGGAGGTCATCCCTTTGTGTCCCGGTGTGTACAATCGACCCCGAAAGTTGTATTTCTCGGACTATTTTAATTATATTTTATTTTATCGGGTCAAATAAAATATATTACATGTCCATAACTATTATAGATCTTAAGAATGAGTGTACAATCCCCAACTTTAATTTAAAAGTCTCCGAAATTCATTTCGGACTGTTATCTGAAGAAATTGCCGGTACTGGTAATTGGGCCCTGTTTGACAAACCGGTCAACCCAATGCCTTTCTTATGGCCCATTATGAATGTCCACCACCATGTAACTATTATCTAGACCAAGATGAATATAACATGTGGTCTCGTGTTATCGGGTTACCCCCGCTCCGAGTGTGGGCCCCGCGTGGAATTTTACTCTTCACGCAAAAGAAATAACAAAAATTTACAATCTCGTAAATTCATTACTAGATACGCCATGTTCAATACATAATTTTCATAAAGGTAAATATATTTGGGGACGGTGTTACAGAAGTAGTATATTTTAACACCTGGAACAATAAATTAAGTCTCATATTAAGTTTAACACCCTTGAAAGCTATGTATTTCAGGAGCATCAAAGCCTCATATATCCACTTTTGAAAAAGCAGATCCTAGCAAGACCAAATGGATATAGGTTCATCAAATACATCACAAACATGTTGTTCTCCCTTTCTTTATCTAAACATTAGCCTACTGATTGCAGCTTCTGAAAGCATATGACCTCATGAAAGCTTCTTAGAGTCTGATATTAACATATCTACTTCGGAGCCATCGTTAACTACACTCACCCCCAATTCTGATACAAATATGTTAAATAGTCTCTCTCAGTCACAGTATGAGAATAGTCAAATTCTGCTATAGACTGGGTTGCTATTTACCTTAGTTAATCATGTAAATGTGAACATTAAATTCCTCATCATTTTTTTATAAATTTGGACAGCACCTGAGCCAACGTTCACTTAAAAGTTAAAACATAACAAAAAAAAACAAATTTCAATGAATCACTATACCATCATATAATAGCAATCACACTATTCTGGAGGACCTTTATTGTCACATGAAATTTTTATCTAGAAGTATATTCAACTTGTATCACATTTAAGGTACGGCGTGCAAAGTTTGCAGGTTTCTCTTTGTTATTAATACTTAATATTCTATAATAATATAACTGCAGCAAATGTAGCAATGAAATAAAGCTTCGAATATTTGGTTTACCAACGTGCAGTTTAGATGAAATTATGAGTTTGCAGGGATGATTGCCAATACAATTCATCAACACTGCAATCCTATAAATAAAGAGACTCGCCAAAAATACTAAAATAGGAGCAGACCTTTCAAAACTAAGGAAACATAGAGAGCTAAATGATTAATAGAATAATAGTGAAGAAAATTTAAAGGTTATCTCACTTGATCTAGTAGTGGAGTTTTATCTTCAATTCTCCTAATCCTCAGAAGAAGCAACACCACAACAATGTTTACTGGAGTTTATCTCCAAAGTCTCACATCCCCTTTATGAGTAACCTGATTGCCATAAGCTTCAGCAAAGGTAGGACTGATTTGGTCTTCCATTCATAAAGGGGAAGAGCAACTTGTGCTTATTGATACTGTGAAGGTCCACCCACCGCCATTCTATATATATCTTCAAACCCAGCAATAACAGAAAGTAAACAAATAAATCAACAAATTCATAAGTGTGAGGTATCTGCAAATAAAAATCAATTTGAGTTGAGATTTCTCAGGAGTTAAAGAAAATTAAAAAAAATACGAAAGAGATTAGTGAATATTTATATAAACACATGTCATATCGTGTGGAGTTTATTTTGAAGGAAGAGAGAGCAGGTTGGGGAAGAGAATCAATTGAAATTGATGCAACCTTCCTAAACATAGATAGATTAATGATTAATAGAAAAATAGTGAATAAAATTGAAAAGTTAACTCACTTATGTAGTAATGGAGTTTATCTTCAATTCTCCTAACCCTAAGAAGAAGAAGCCCTACAACAATGTGAATTGGAGTTTATCTCCAGAGTACCAAATCCTGGATTTGACAGAAGATTAACTGAAAAAAGTGAAAAAGTGAAATTAAGTGAAGTTAGTTCGATGAAGGTTAACACATAAGATTATATTTGTTTGGTTTTGTAGTGAAGTAGTGAAGTCATCAGTTTTAATTCCTCTACATTTGAGAAGCATTCAAAAAAATAAAGGCTTAGCAGTTTGTTCAAAAGCATACTACGTACTACTCAGCTACAGTCTTAAACAATGACTCTACTCTCTCTTCCGAGCCTGGAGACCGCTAGATTGATTGCTTGGTTTGCAAATGACGGTGGGACGAGGACTTCGAAGAGAAATCCATAGGCGATCCAATTCTCTAAGAAGAGAGTGGAAAGTCGATCCGATCTCCCGTCCATATTTTTTCACCAGAAGTGCTGATGATCGGAAATCTCCCATACGCCTCTCCCAATATTCTCTAGTTATGGAAGACGTTAGCAGACGTGGCTACAAGTGAAATAAAAAAACAGAAATTGAAAACCCAAAAAGTTAATAATGAAAAGAAAAAACACTTGGGCCATTAATGATATCTTAGCGTAAAAGGGTAGCATACCCGTAATTACCACGATTTTATATTTTTTCCAACAAAATCTCGTTGCTCAGCCAGGTAGGACGTACCGACGGAGCTGGTCATCTCTTCTTTGCCCGCTATCCATTTTTGTTGGCGAGTTGAAGAAGCTGAAATCTCCGATCCATTTTCCGGGTTGAAGAGCTGCTCTGTATTAGGGTGCAATCGTTTAACATTGCTTGAATAGAACATGAGAATACAAAAAAGAACATTCCCAGTGAGTAACATACCTTTGCCTTTTACCTTTTTTCCGCACTATCTTTATGAATAAAGGACCTTTGAGCAGGTTAAGCAGGCTTTGTAGCTCCCACATTTAGGGGACCTGATAATTTTGTGAGGTGCATTCGGAATTTGAAGTCTGTTTATAAGTTTTAATGTATTCTTTAAATTTTCTTGTGCATAAATGAGTTGGAAATGAAATAAAAGTATGTGCAGGCTGTAGCTGTTGTATGATATAGTAACTTATAGATGTGGTTGGATTGCTGGAAGCTGTTTGGAGTACAAAAAATAATGCCCAAGGTCTGAAGTTCAATTTTTTTGCTACTTTGAGTAACCCTTTAACCTTGATTGAACTTAGTTCTTGCTGATTGGGGTATATTTTAGTGGAACACGAAATAATTTGCAGTATGGAACCTGGGAATATAGTCACATACTACCTCCGTCCCTTAAAACTTTGCCAAGTTTGACCGGCACGGAGATTAATAAAGTAAAAACTGTGTGGTAGAGGTTTGTGCAGAGGAGAGAGAATTAACAGGAACCACAAATTTTTTACTTAAAAGGGAAAGTGGCAAAGTTAGTGGGACATCCAAAAAAAGGAAAGTTGGCAAAGTTTTAAGGGACGGAGGGAGTAGTTCGCAAAACGCTTCAGTACGGGAACGAGGATCGGGATTCGGGAACACAGTTCGCTAGGTCTAGCGTATCCAGTCGGAGGGGTAGGTTCAGTTCGGTAGGCGTTCGGTACGTTGTACCTTATGTTTTGGTTACAATAGTAAAACAGAATTACATATTTCACAACATTATGCAAAAACAGATTTCATATCATTAAACCAAATAAAAAACATTAATATTCTAAAAACATTTGACGCACAACTGAAAAACAGTACCAGAAACATTAATTAAAACATATTATAGAAGACTGGAGTACTGGAGAGTGTTTGGCTTATGAAATAGAACATTTTCACTCAATCTATAAGAGTTAGAATGTACAGTTGATGAGTTCGATCAGAAAACGAAGAGGCTGGTTTGAACTTCAAAATCCAAACGCGTGTAGAAACGTCTGAAAATGAAGAGCCCGTGCAAACCTTTGAAAGCCGCAAGCTGAAAGGAAATGATTCAGGGTTCACTGGGGAAATCGTTTGGGGCATATTTGACAGTTTTCCATGTTGTTGGAAACTTTGATTGTCCTGCTCTTGGTTATCTATCTCATTTGGTTGGAAATTGGATAACAGGAATCACATCTCTCCACCAGGAAGTATACAAAAGTTCTCCTGTTTACAATACAAAAGGTATAAACAATCTCAAATTTTTATTTACTCATTTTGTTTAATTAACCAAATCAAACAACGATGATGATAACTTTTTTATAAATGTAATAAATCAGGTGCCTAGAAGACGACTCCACAGTTGGAGTACTTTTTTTCTGGGGAGTCGTATTGTTTTGGCGAGGCTTAGCTAACTCAGGTGTCCTTCTTTGTCAAACTTTGTGACACCCCGAAAATTTTATTGAAAAATAAATAAATTACAAATGAGATAAAATTTTAAAATGTGGACAATTTTAATAATTTTAATACAAAGGTGTCGGTTAATAACCACGCATATGATCTGAATAATAATAACAAAACTTGAATCTCTATACACATTACGACATTCTAATACGGAGGTCTGACCAAGTCATGAAGTATACTACATACGGAGTAAAATATACTTACTCGAGCATTAATATATGCTGGCCGATGGCACGTCCTATGCGCTAAGTCTCAAAAAGGAAAACGGCCGAAGCCATTATTACGTATATACGTTAAAACCCTAGAGTCTCGAAAGATCGGAGGGATATATATATATATATACTCCATATGATTTACGATCGAAACTCTCCATAGAAACGAACTGAACCACTGCGGCGAAGGAATACTCGTCGATATACATACGAACTGAACCACTGCGTACGTACGTATTAGATATATACTGCATATACGTGGCCGACGGAGTATTAACGACGGACTGAGGGAAACTATCGGGCATCGCCAAACGCTGCGCCACTCGGTGCCGCTGCGGAGTTACCGGACTGTTTCACGCCGGAGTGACGTTGTAGAAGATCGCCGAGAGAAGTGGAAACTGCTGCAAGGATCACCGCAGGATGAGGAAGAACGCAGCTGCACCGGTCGGTCGTGGTTTACGCTGGAGAAGACGACGAGGAGTGTACGTCATATCCTACCCTGTAATTCATACTCCGTATTATCACTGGGTTGTTTTAGATTGGTCTGGTACTTTTTACTCTGTATAAATTGGGCCGCATGCTTTCATAATAATGGCATGATGATAATGATAATGCACTATTACATACGAATGGGCTATTGTACGAATTAGTCATTTGAGAAATAAAATAATCATAACAATGGGAATTCATAAGGGTAGATGAATGAAACTATAGTTTGAATAAAATATTGATTAGTAATTTTAATATTCTTAGAAGGTGAAACTTGGAGAAGATCGAAATAGAAGCTTCGGTTAGGAGTTATCGCGATTTGAGGTAAGTTTCACGTCAACCAAAATTATACCTTTTGCTTCGTGAATCTATTTATGATTATTCATTTGATTTCATTCGAGTACTTTGTGAGATTTCTAGCATTTACAATTTATACTTCGTATTTGAGTATTTGGAATTATTTATGGATTGTTATTGAGAATTATATTTGAGATTTCAGTATTGGATGATATTTTCAAGTATTTGAGTTATCATATGAAATGTTGTTGGGGTTATATTTGAGATCTGAACTAGTTATGAAGTATTCTATATTTTGACTCTTTCGTGAAATTTTAATGTATGGTACATTTCAGTGCAATTTGTTGGAGTTAATATTTTACATTGTGGATTATTTTGTGGAGTTTGGATTCCATATCCGTTTTGGTTGAGGTTGTGATATTCGTTTGGAACTTTGGGAATGAATTGTGATTTTTGGTGAGCACCCGGAGAAATCCGTGGTGTCGGTTTGCCACATCCGGATAAATGTGGTATTGGTGAGTGGTAATGGCTATAAGTCTAAATCCACCAGGGGTACTTCCCAAAAGAGGAGTATCCCAGCTTAATTGTAGTGTAGTTGGTAGAAAAATCCCGACTACTCGGGCTTCTTACTTCCCGGAGGGCTTGGAATCCCTTTTAGGGGGTGTGCACACTTAAGGTAGGAGTTCGGCTTCCACTAGTATTTTGAGATATTTGGTGTTTGATTTATGCTTTGGAATTATTGTAATGATTTTTGGTGGTTTTACGTATATTTGGTATTTTTGTAATTTTTGTGGTTCGGAAATATTTGCTTATATTTGAGGTACTATTATTTTACTAGTGAATTATGCTATGAGAAGATTTTATAAATTGTTTAAAAAAAATATTTTTCCTCCTAAATGTTTTTTCAAAAACATTAAATTTTATTATTTATTATTTTATGGGGTTAGGTGGAACTTACTTAGCATTGTTGCTAATTTTTGTTTTCTTTTGTTTTTCTTTCTGTACTTGATTTTGTACAGGTGACGCTTTGATGATGATGTTGATTTCGAGAGAGCTTCTGCTAGAAAATATAATTAGTAAATCATTGTAACTCCATTTTCAATATCTTTAGTTAGTGAATAATTATTTTTGGGTTTAAGTTGTTTTAGCCTGTGCACTCGGTTAAGGGAGAACCGAGTGTGGCGGTAACGCCCCTATTTCCCTTTTGATTTCCGCTGCAAAACTCTGATGTTTTTGAATAAAGTATTGTTTTTGGATGGGAAATTTGGGGGTGTTACAAGTTGGTATCAGAGCCTATGGTTCTCTGGGGGATTTCTCTAAACAATTTTTCTAATGTTTTGTAAAGAGGTTTGCACACATTTTTTGAAATTTCCTTTAAAGGTTTTTCAAAATGCTTTTCCAAATTATATTTGAAAAAAAAAACAATCTTGGACTAAAATAAAATTTTAGGCGCGTGGTGAGGTTGTGAGACTTTGATTTTGATTTCCGTTGATTTTGCGGCTCTTTTGATTTTCTTGGGATATGTTTAAGTGTGACATATCCATATATGTTTATTTGAGGATAAGTTTGGACTTATAGAAGAACTTTAGGCAATATTTGATTAGTGAGTTATTGGTTAGTGTAGTAAAATTGTGAATACTAGCTATTTGATAGATTTCTTATTTGTATCCTAAACGCTATCCTTTTCAAGGAGACAATGACGTCAACGAGGAACAACATCGAGAGCAATGATGACGCACCAACGAACTCGGAGTCAGCTCAAAATATGGTCCAACTAACACAACTCATCCAGACTGTCGCGAATGTGGTACTTCAGAATCAACACCAACAACGTCTCAACATCCGTAATGATGTAGCGAAACTTATAGCGAAGCGCAATCCCCCGAGCTATTTAGGTGAAGAAGATCCTCAAATCCTTGAGGATTGGATTCGCACATTCGACAAACTATTCGATGCCATAAACTGCCCCACGGATCAACGGGTTAATATAGTTGCATACTACTTACGTCAAGAGGCGGATAATTGGTGGGCCTTGGCTGGCCCAACATTGCGTTAACAACCTGACTTTTCTTGGGAGACGTTTAAGAAAGCAATGCGAGAAAGATTCTATCCAGAACACGTGAGAGCTGAGAAGTACGAAGAATTCTTACATCTGAAGCAAGTGGGTATGACTGTTCAAGAGTATCACGCCAAATTCTTGGAGCTCGCACGATTTGCACCCGCGCTAGTTTCTGATGAAATTGACAAAACTAACAAGTTTATACGCGGTCTGAACTTCGAGACACAAAAAGCTCTTTTCGTTACAGAATGCCAAACTCTGAATGAGGCCTACGGCAAAGCTGCCAAGCATTACCGAGTGAAACAGCTCCAGAAGGAAACACTTAAGAAAGCGAGAAAGGGCACCAAAGAAGAAAGCAAACGGGGAGACAAACGACAGAGGCCAAATCATTTGAAGGAGTCCCGAAACAAGAACAAGATCAACAATCAAGGTCACGATCAAAAGCGTAAGAAGAACTATTCCGCTGATACCGCACACTTCTATTGCACGAAATGTCGAAAGGGAAAGGATCACCCTGGGAAATACTGTGACGAAACACTCGCGCGATGTTTTCACTGCGACAAGCTAGGTCATAGAGTGTTTGAGTGCCGTTCCAAGAAGAAGGGCTTACCTCCAAATCATGGATACTATCGTCAAGGGAAGAATGCCAACCGCAACGGAAGAACCTGAGAGTAGTAGGTGGGACCATTTAAATTTCTAATTATCAAAAGTAGTAAACTCTTCGAAGAACAATGTATCGTTTCATCTTGAATAATAAATTATTTTCTTGAATAAGTTTGGTGCTTCGAGGACGAAGCATATATTTAAGGGGGTAGAATGTGACACCCCGAAAATTTTATTGAAAAATAAATAAATTACAAATGAGATAAAATTTTAAAATGTGGACAATTTTAATAATTTTAATACAAAGGTGTCGGTTAATAACCACGCATATGATCTGAATAATAATAACAAAACTTGAATCTCTATACACATTACGACATTCTAATACGGAGGTCTGACCAAGTCATGAAGTATACTACATACGGAGTAAAATATACTTACTCGAGCATTAATATATGCTGGCCGATGGCACGTCCTATGCGCTAAGTCTCAAAAAGGAAAACGGCCGAAGCCATTATTACGTATATACGTTAAAACCCTAGAGTCTCGAAAGATCGGAGGGATATATATATATATATACTCCATATGATTTACGATCGAAACTCTCCATAGAAACGAACTGAACCACTGCGGCGAAGGAATACTCGTCGATATACATACGAACTGAACCACTGCGTACGTACGTATTAGATATATACTGCATATACGTGGCCGACGGAGTATTAACGACGGACTGAGGGAAACTATCGGGCATCGCCAAACGCTGCGCCACTCGGTGCCGCTGCGGAGTTACCGGACTGTTTCACGCCGGAGTGACGTTGTAGAAGATCGCCGAGAGAAGTGGAAACTGCTGCAAGGATCACCGCAGGATGAGGAAGAACGCAGCTGCACCGGTCGGTCGTGGTTTACGCTGGAGAAGACGACGAGGAGTGTACGTCATATCCTACCCTGTAATTCATACTCCGTATTATCACTGGGTTGTTTTAGATTGGTCTGGTACTTTTTACTCTGTATAAATTGGGCCGCATGCTTTCATAATAATGGCATGATGATAATGATAATGCACTATTACATACGAATGGGCTATTGTACGAATTAGTCATTTGAGAAATAAAATAATCATAACAATGGGAATTCATAAGGGTAGATGAATGAAACTATAGTTTGAATAAAATATTGATTAGTAATTTTAATATTCTTAGAAGGTGAAACTTGGAGAAGATCGAAATAGAAGCTTCGGTTAGGAGTTATCGCGATTTGAGGTAAGTTTCACGTCAACCAAAATTATACCTTTTGCTTCGTGAATCTATTTATGATTATTCATTTGATTTCATTCGAGTACTTTGTGAGATTTCTAGCATTTACAATTTATACTTCGTATTTGAGTATTTGGAATTATTTATGGATTGTTATTGAGAATTATATTTGAGATTTCAGTATTGGATGATATTTTCAAGTATTTGAGTTATCATATGAAATGTTGTTGGGGTTATATTTGAGATCTGAACTAGTTATGAAGTATTCTATATTTTGACTCTTTCGTGAAATTTTAATGTATGGTACATTTCAGTGCAATTTGTTGGAGTTAATATTTTACATTGTGGATTATTTTGTGGAGTTTGGATTCCATATCCGTTTTGGTTGAGGTTGTGATATTCGTTTGGAACTTTGGGAATGAATTGTGATTTTTGGTGAGCACCCGGAGAAATCCGTGGTGTCGGTTTGCCACATCCGGATAAATGTGGTATTGGTGAGTGGTAATGGCTATAAGTCTAAATCCACCAGGGGTACTTCCCAAAAGAGGAGTATCCCAGCTTAATTGTAGTGTAGTTGGTAGAAAAATCCCGACTACTCGGGCTTCTTACTTCCCGGAGGGCTTGGAATCCCTTTTAGGGGGTGTGCACACTTAAGGTAGGAGTTCGGCTTCCACTAGTATTTTGAGATATTTGGTGTTTGATTTATGCTTTGGAATTATTGTAATGATTTTTGGTGGTTTTACGTATATTTGGTATTTTTGTAATTTTTGTGGTTCGGAAATATTTGCTTATATTTGAGGTACTATTATTTTACTAGTGAATTATGCTATGAGAAGATTTTATAAATTGTTTAAAAAAAAATATTTTTCCTCCTAAATGTTTTTTCAAAAACATTAAATTTTATTATTTATTATTTTATGGGGTTAGGTGGAACTTACTTAGCATTGTTGCTAATTTTTGTTTTCTTTTGTTTTTCTTTCTGTACTTGATTTTGTACAGGTGACGCTTTGATGATGATGTTGATTTCGAGAGAGCTTCCGCTAGAAAATATAATTAGTAAATCATTGTAACTCCATTTTCAATATCTTTAGTTAGTGAATAATTATTTTTGGGTTTAAGTTGTTTTAGCCTGTGCACTCGGTTAAGGGAGAACCGAGTGTGGCGGTAACGCCCCTATTTCCCTTTTGATTTCCGCTGCAAAACTCTGATGTTTTTGAATAAAGTATTGTTTTTGGATGGGAAATTTGGGGGTGTTACAAACTTGCACCGGACTATGTTTGGAGGGAACGCTGCAAACTTGTCTCTTTCAAAAGTTGGTGAAATTGCTCTAAAACTTGTACCCAAACCACTTCAGGGACCCGAACCAAAGTTCATATCATTATTGCAATTATGTAATACTCCAAGGAACCTCGAACAAATTCAAACTCAGATCACAGTACGAGGTCTTGATCAAGATGAGTACACAATGCCTCTTTTCCTGCTGAAATGTTTCGAATTAAATCAATTTTGTTGCGCTCGCCAGCTGTTTGATCAAACTACCTACCCAAGCTCTTACCTCTGGAATACTATGTTCAAAGGGTACCTCCTTAAGAACCAGCACAGAGAGGTGCTGGTGCTTTTTCGCCTTATGAGGAATGCAGATGAGAAGCCGAGCTGCTATACATTCTCCATTATTTTGAAGTCTTGTGGGAGATTATTTGCTCTGAGAGAAGGTGAGGAAGTGCATTGTGTTGTATTCAAGACTGGACTCAGGTCTAATACATTTGTGGGCACTACTCTGATCGATTTGTATTCAAGAACAATGCAAATCAAGTGTGCTCATACAGTGTTTAGTGAGATGGTTTTGAGAAATGTAGTAACATACACTTCTATGATCAACGGCTTCATTGAGAACGGTGATTTGACTACTGCTAGGAGGCTATTTGACTCGGCACCGGATCGAGATGTTGTCTTGTGGAATACCATGATTGTGGCCTATATTGAGTGTAGGGACATGACAGAGGCTAGGAAACTTTTCAATGTGATGCCAATGAAGGATTTGATGTCATGGAATACCCTGTTGAATGGCTATGCGAAATCTGGGAATGTTGAGGAGTGTGAGAAGCTGTTCAAAGTAATGAAGGAGAGAAACATATTTTCTTGGAATGGTTTGATAAGAGGATATGCCCATAATGGACATTTCGTCGAAGTTCTTTGTGCTTTTAATAGGATGTTAACCGTTTCTGAAGCTCAACCTAACGATGTCACTCTTGTTAATGTGTTGACTGCTTGTGCTAGACTAGGAGCTCTTGATATGGGCAAGCGGGTGCACTCTTATGCGGTGAGCATTGGTTATAAAGATAATATATATGTTGGGAATGGTTTGGTTGATATGTATGCAAAGTGCGGGGTGATTGAAAATGCAACTGATGTTTTTATCAGAATGGAAGTTAAAGATTTGATATCTTGGAACACAATTATTAATGGTGTGGCGGTCCATGGTCAGGCAGTTGCTGCCTTGATGTTATTTAATCAGATGAGGGATGCTTGTGTAAGACCTGATGGAATAACTTTCATTGGTGTACTATGCGCTTGCTCCCACATGGGTCTAGTCTCAAAGGGATTTGACTATTTTCAATTGATGGTCAATGAGCATTCTCTTGTGCCTCAAATTGAACACTATGGCTGTATGGTTGATCTTCTGGCCCGTGCTGGCCATTTTGAGCAAGCTGTGGAATTTGTGCATAAGATGCCTATGCCAGCTGATAGTGTTATATGGACCACATTACTTGGGGCTTGTAGGATTTACAAGAAAGTCGGTTTTGCTGTATTGGCTCTTCAAAAACTGACTGAGCTTGACCCAAATAACCCTGCAAACCATGTAACTCTTGCTAATATCTACGGTGATGCTCATAGATGGAAAGATGTGGCAAAGCAGAAGGTTGCCATGAGGGATACTGGTTTTAAGAAACTGCCAGGGCATAGCTCTATTGAAGTTGACGACCATGTAGCTGAGTTTTATTGCTTTGATGAGAGACATGCCAAGACACATGCTATATATGGAGCTTTGAAAGGATTGATGAAAACATCAATATCTTGTGATACTTCATGGAATTTGATAAATGAACCTTGATCAAGTTGAACATGCCCGTTATAGGAAAACCCCATGTTTGGTTTAAACTACATTCTCCTTCTTTCAAGGTTAGATGCATTTTTATTTGAAGCTGAATTTCAGTTTTTTTCATATTTATTTATATTTCTCAAGGGAGAAAATTACATTTCCTTGGTTTGAATTTTGAAAGTTGAAAAATATTCTTATCTCAAGGTTATGTACTCCCACAGGTCTTATTTATAGGCGACGGATTCCTAAATATGTCTTTTTTTTTCTATTATCCATGCATATTTAACTTGTTTTTGTGGTTTTCCACCATTGTCCATATGAAATGAAGTCTTGACGAAGGAGCCTCATGTGTTATTTTATATATGTGGGTGCAGATTAAGTGGGTACTTGGCTCCACAAGAAGATTGTCGACCCTCTTCTCTAAATCCTCAGTAGGTATTATCTCCCCCTTTTGGAAATCTGAAGATTCGCAGTAAGATTAGTAAGGAAGGAAATATAAGGTTTGTTAAATCTGCACATTTCAATGAATGAATGATTATCTTTGTTATGGGGAGCCGAACTGAAGCAATTAGCATTCTCGGGTGCACTTGGCATTACGTTAGAAATCTTCCTCATTTGTGGTATGATCTACAATCTCTAAAAAAGAAATACGGCCTTGAATTAGTTTCCTCAATCTCTTGATTCAAGTCTCTAGATTCTCATCTTTTAGTTTTTTGTAAATTTCAAATCCCTCTTGATTAATAATTTACTTATAACTCTTTTCCTCCAGACTTTGGATTCTAGGAAATTAGGTCGCTTCATGGTAGTTGAGAGTTGGGTTTGGATGCAGTCCAGACTGAAACCGATCCTGAAACAGCCCCCCCATAAACCAGGACCTGCCGTCCCCTATTAATTTGAACCAGACATGGACCCGTGTTTGAAGTTTTGAACCGTCTTGGTCCTATGACCGATTTGATGGCTGTTGATCCCAGACTGGTCCCAAGACCTGCAGTTGCAGTTCCTGGCTGAGGCCGTGTCCTCCGACCCCTCCCTATGCCTAGATAAACGATTCAAGGGTCGTGTTTCAATATTTTGAAAGACATGGACCACATTGAAGAGAAAGAGGGACCAAAATTGCGATTTCTCTACATTGAAGAGACAGAGGAACCAAAATTCAATCAATGCTTGAATTTAGTTTTTGTGCTTCTTTTTTCTGAAAACTCAAAAGAAAAAAAAGCAATTGAATTATTTGAATAGACCATATGACTATCGTCATTGGTGTTTGAGTGAACATCAAAGAGTATGGTAAAGAATTCTTGAGCATCAATCATATTTTGTTCGCAGGTGTTACTATATGTCTGTGTGGATTGGCTATTGCATTGCTTGGATCTTTGTGTCATGCTCCAACAGTAATGCTTGCTAACTTTATTGCCACCCCAATTGAATTGAGGTAAAAAGCAAAAAACAAGAGAACCACTATGCCTTTTCTACACTAATTTATTTTCTTGCCTTTTCATTCCCTTGACTGTCATCTTTAGCCTTTGTCGGTGACTTACAATATTTTCCGTACCAATGCCTTTAAACAAGTTGTTTAAACATTGGGATATTATGCTTAACAAGTGTCTGCATTGGTGATGAAGAGTATATGAATTCAAAAGAAAACACGTATGATGTTGATAGTTAGATAGTAATACTATCTTGCTGAATCCTGTAGGGTCCATTCGGAACACGGAAAATGCCAAAGGAACGAAAATAGGAAGAAAAGTATAAAAGAAAGTTAGAACGGAAATAAAAGAGAGTTAAAAGTTTAAAACTAAATAAATCTATTTTAGATATTTTTTAAATAACAATGGAGCCAAAGGCTCACTATTTTTTTGGCTTGAGAATATGATGCAATAAAGCAAAATGGCTTAATATGCACTTCTTTGTTATGAAACATCAGTCAGTCCATGCAATTTTCGATGCGATTTTCATCACGGGCTATGCGGAAATAGTCTCTCTTGCTTTGATACAGGGGTAAGGCTGCGTACATCCGACCTTCCCTTACCCCACCGTAGGTGGGAACGTTTGTGGCACTGGGGTAATGTTGTTGTTATTGTTGTAGATCTTCTTTGAACGTATTTTTATTTCCATCAAATAAAGACTTAGAGTACTAGAATTAAAAAAAAAAAATTCATTTATTTTTGCAAAGATTTTCTTCTGTCTTGATATGGTTTTCAGCTACTAATATGAATTTGTGTCCCTTTTACAAGATAATATTAGGGGTAAGTCATTTGTTATCGAATAGTTAGAATTAGTTTGCTAGCTTATTAGCTTATATGCATCTTACTTAACTGATGAGGTTAACACACCATTATATTCTCCTAATAGATCTTGACTGGTTGACTTCTCATCATATCTTATGGGCTAATCTCTGTCAATGCATGCATCATTTGGGTACAAGTATGCAGTTTGATAATCCCATTCCTGCGATTGGAGAATCAATTACTGGCGGCTCTCATTTTTCTTTGGCGGCTCTCATTTTTCTTTGGCGGCTCTCATTTTTCTTTGACATCAGATGCACTAAAGAGGTTTTCACCGGTGAAGCTTCACATGAACTCTTGCTGAGTATTTTACGTGCGGTAAGTACATACATTATACATACCTTAATTCTCATTTTCTCTTACCTTTTCTTTCTCTTTGATGTCTACATTTCTTAACTGGACCTTTAGTTTGCATGCTTTATTTTGTAACTGGGAACATTGTTCTATCAACTTCTTGAAACATAGTTTATGCAATTAAGTTTTAACTAGGAATTGAGCGGGAGAATTTTCTCCACGGGCTTTTACGTATAAGATAACGGACTAATATTTGAGCGGTAGAATTTTCTCTCTCATATAACCTTTTAAATGGGCCTTAACTAGTAAAAGCATATCACGTAAGTATATCACTATCATCATGGATATGTACGAGGCTTGTACTACAAGTGTCCCTACTAGTGTAGGGAGAACCACAAAGTTCCCTATTACTATCGGAGTGTACCAAGGATCGGATCTGAGTTCTTTCTTATTTGTTGAGTCATGGATGAACTTACTAAATCAACTCAAGAAGATATACCATGGTGCCTGATGTTTGCCGACGATATTGTATTGATTGATGAGACACAATCAGATGTTAAAGCAAAGTTGGAAGTATGGCGACAAACTTTGGAGACCAAGGGTTTGAGACTAAGTTGAAGCAAGACTGAGTATATGGAGTGCAAGTTTGGTAGAGGTAGAAGTAGTAGCAACAGTGGGATTACTCTTGATGGTAAGGAGATACCGGTGTGTGATATGTTTTGTTACTTGGACTCCATAATTCAGAAAGATGGTGAATTAGATGGAGATGTATCCCATAGAATCAGAGCTGAGTGGATGAAATGGAAGAGTGCATCAGGATTCAGGATTTCTATGCGATCGAGGTATGCCGACTAGACTGTAAAATAAATTTAATCGAACAACAATTAGGCTTGCATTAATGTATGACGTAGAGTGTTGAGCGGTGAAACAATGTCACATTCAAAAGATGAGTGTGGCAGAGATGCGTATGTTGCGTTGGATGTGTGGACATACCAGAAAAGACCGCTTGAGGAATACGACAATCAGACAAAAGGTGGGAGTAGCACCTATAGAAGATAAGATGCAGGAGTCTTGTTTGCGGTTGTTTGGGCATGTGTGTAGAAGACCGAGTGATGCACCTGACCACCTGTTAGACAACTTGAGGGGTGGGGAGAAGAGACAGAGAGGAGAGGGAGAAGAAGACCCAAACAGACTTGGATTAGAGGAATCAAAACTGATATGCGTCTTCTTGGGTTGAATGAGAGTATGACTTTGGAGAGGGCAAAGTAGAGGGCGCGCATTCGTGTGGACGATTGATATTTTTTCTTTTTTCCTCTCTCTTTATCTTTTCTTTTCTTTTATCGTTTATCTTCTTTGTCTTTTTATGTTCTTAGGTTATTTTTATCTTCTCCCTTTTTTATGTTTTAATCTTTTTATCTTTCTTATATTTTAATGTCATTGTTATCTTATATTTATTTTTCCATCATTTGCAATGGAGCCAAAGATTCATTATTTTTTTGCTTGAGAATATGATGGAATAAAGCAAAATGGCTCACTAAACTGCCTGCGCTAACCCGCTTCTTTGTTATGAAACAGCAGTCAGTCCATGCAATTTTGGACGCGATTTTCACTATGGGTCATCCGGAAACAGTCTCTTTGCACTTTAGTACAGGGGTAAGACTGCGTACATCCGACCCCCCCTTACCCCACCGTAAGTGGGAGCCTTTACGGCACTGGGGTAAATGAAAATGAAATGAAATGTTATCTTATATTTATTTATCTTTATCATATTCGTTTTATGGAGCCAAAGACTAACTATTTTTTTTCTTGGGAATATGATGGAATAAAGCAAAATAGCTCACTAAACTGTCCGCGCTTCTTTGTTATGATGTAGCAGTCAGTCTATGCAATTTTCGACGTGATTTTCACTATGGGTCATTCAGAAACAGTCTCTCGGTGCTTTAGTACATGGGTAAGACTGCATGCGTACATCCGACCCCCCTTACCCCACCGCAGGTTGGAGCCTTTGCCCTTTGAGGCATTGGGGTAATGATGATGATGATATCATATTCGTTTTATCCTTTTTTTTCCTTCTTGTCTGTTTTCTCTTTTTGGCATCGATATCATGGATCGATTCATGTAAGCTGACCCCAAAACCTTTTGGGATTAAGGCTTGGATGTTGTTGTTGTTGTTGTTGTTGTATAACCTTTTAGGTATAAGATAAGAGGACTAATAAGTGAGCGGGAGAATTTCTTCTGTAGTGCTTATAGGGTTAAAGATCATTTAATTATTAGTATGTCACATATCCAACAGGTAGATTTCAACTACAATATGGTTCGTAACAATAGATAATTGAGCGGGAGAATTTTCTTTGTTATATGTAGTGCCTGTGCTTTTAGGTATATAAAAAGATAAGAAGATAATTCAAAGCATAGCCATCTAGGGAAAAAGTAATTTTATAAGTTTACGGGTTGCTTATGACATTTAAAGGTGGAGCATCACTTTTAATACCGTTTACACCTTGTATGCATTTCACTAAACAAGGGTTAGTTACACGGTTACACCCACCACTCCTTGCCTCCTTGGTGTGGTCCATTTCCAAATGACCTTCAAGTTCCCAGAAAATTAGAAATAAACCCCTTGACCAGTTAGATTTTTCTCAGGTGATGCTGAAAGATGATAACATGTAATTGATATTAGCAAGAATTTCATTTTTGGATTAGAAATGAAAGTTGGGGGAACATATTTTAATTGACGAAATGCAAGAAGAAACACACCAAATTCAATATTAAGACACACCATTCTTGTTAGTGTCATGAATGCCTGATTTCCCTTGAACTTCCAACGTTAAACAAAATCTTATTGTTGAAATCAAACTATCACATGACTTATTTGGAACTTTTAAACCACCAAGGTTGTCAGGAAATTTGATAAAATCTTGGGGGTAGATGTAATTAACCCTCTAACTTAAACGCCAACCAAGCTTTGAAGTTGAAAATGATAAAGCAGCTTAAACAATAAATTTGAAATTCGGCTATCAAATTAAGCTCCCAGTTGATGCATAAAGCATAATTCATTTGCATTTTACAGCAGACTAAGTTGTGTTAATTTGGGCAAATCATTAATTGATGTGTTGATGGTTGTTGTGCAGTTGTTGGGATGGATTGTGGCTGCACCATTCATTCTAGCAGGCCTATATATACTCTTCTTGCCATGTTTTGCAATCTTGGTCAGTAAGACAGTAATTTGAGTGGCACAGCTCTTCCATCTTCCCCCAAGATCCCATTAATTCAACCCCATGCTGAACTAAAGGTCAAGGTGAGATATGTCTGATCAACAAGGGTAAGGGAAAGTTTGTTGCATAGGCAAAGCTAATGAATCTCATCTTGTTACCTTTGCTTGTAAACAGAACTCTGGAGAGTCCTATTTATGCATGTATATATGTGCCAATATTTGATGCATATTTTGCTAATAATTTGGACGGAGTGCTCCCTCTGTACCCATAGAAATATTCATGTCTACCCAATGCATAACTTTTGAGTTTAATAACCAAACTTAGGGATGTTAATTATACTCGTATAGTCGTATCAATGGATAATTATACAATACACTCCGTACGTGGTATGATGGTAAATTGGTAATGAAAACCAATAAAATACTGAAGATAGGGACGGACCCGGATCTGATCCGGGAAGGTTGAAGCTCGTAATCGACCCGGATTATATGGGTCCCGGTCTGGTCCCGACTACTTGGCTGGTCCCGGGTCTGGTCTTGAGCTGGTTAGGGCGGTGTACACACTTTTTTAGTTTAATAATATAAATAACAAATGCTACACATTAAAAATGAAATTTAGATTTATTTGAAATGTTAAATTGACTTGGAGTGTTAGACATTATATATTACAATTGAGAATAGTTTAAATACTTCCTTATTGTCGGAACTCCCGCTATCATCGATTGTCGTTTCCTTCATGAAGTGCTGGTCTGGTTCTATGTTAACTTCTTGAGTTCTATGGCAGACTTTCAACAAATCGTGGAAGCAAATAAGTGTATCAAGAGACTGCATGCTCAATCTCGTTCTATAATCAGTCATGAAGTTGTCAGTTTTGCTTAACTCTTTTTCCACGACAATAATTGGAATCGACATTGAAAACACTTGTTTCGTCATTTTTATAAGATGGGCTACATCCCATTGCGGTCCTTCCACCATTGGAGAATGTCAAACTTTTCCCTTTTAACATGAAATGTTAAATATAAAGAAAACTTGTTAATCGAGCTTTGTGTAACGACAAAGTAGATTTACCTTTTCTCTCTCTCAAAAGATTAGATATTATAGATTTTAAAAAAATCCTTTAAATGAAGAAGTAATTGGTTTTGAGAGCGAGAGCACGTTAGTATATTGTGCATGAAATTTATTAAATAAATTAAGAAATATTTTACTAATCTCGTTGAATTGCGCTTGAGGATCTATAGTGTTGTTATCATACATAGGCAAGTCATCGTAGAATGAAGTATAATAGTATTCTAAAAAATGTTTTATAAGTAGCAATTTTGAAATGGGGATAATGTACGAAAGTAATAATAATAAATATAGGCGGAATGTACGCATAATATTTTAAAAACGTTTCTTTCATGTAATCACAAAAATAAATATAAGCGGTTTGAGATTTTTTTTGGGAAGTATTGAGAGATTAATACCTTCAATAAAAAAAGGTTAGTCGTAGGTGTATTTTTGCTTATGCTTAAAAAAAATGTTTCTCGGCTTTTCGTTAAAAAAGCTAAAAAGCGTGTTTTCAAGTGACAATTTCTACTTAAAAAAAGCGTTTCTCGACTTTTGGTTGAAAAATATTTTTTTACTTTATCTATTACACAAAAAGCACTTATTTTACCAAACACGATCAACTTTTACTTTTCAAAATCACTCTTTTCTTAAACACTTTCAACTTTTTACTACTCATCACTTTTTCCAGCATCATTTAAAGTGTTTTTTTAAAACAAAAGCATTTGCAAACACTTTCTTAGTCTAGGCCTTTATCCGTCCAAAATCTCGTAAATCTAACACAAATTTAAAAAATTAACGGGGTCTTTGCACAACCACACCATTTTGTCAGAAGCGTATACCATACAGCTGGTTGTACGGCTGACACCGTACAGCCGGTGACAGTTTTGTAATTTGATGAAATATAGAGATGTGTTTGTTTTTAAAGTCCTATGTTTTCTTCTACTTCTTCTTAATGTATTTTCATCATCAAGAATATTACGGAAAGGCATATCTCCAAAAAATAACAAAACAAGAAAAAATTGTTACTTGAGTTATGGTTTCCAAAATACATTAAGGGTTGGTTTGCAACTGCTTTTAAAAAAGCACTTCTCAGCTTTTGGCTTTAAAAAAACACTTATTTTCCCAAACACTACAACTTTTATTTTTCTCGGCTTTCGCGTCAAAAGTGCTTTTACTTTTTCTATTACACAAAAAGCACTTATTTTACCAAACACTACCCACTTTTACTTTTCAAAATCACTTTTTTCTTAAACACTATCAACTTTTATTTAATCACTTCTCCTCATTTCATTAAAAAAAATACTTTTTTAAAAGCAGAAGCTGTTGCAAACAGACCCTAAGTAATGGTTAGATGATTAGGTAAAGTTCAACATCTCTATATTTGATTTGATGCACAACGATTGTGCAGCTTAAGGATTGTCAATTGTGAGGGAAAAGTGGGCTCCAGCCCAGCCCAATTTGTTTTTGTTAGTATAGGTATAGATTTTGTTATCAGCCCACCCCAAAATTAATTCTCAACCCACAGGCCACAGCTCAGCCCCTGACTTTAGAAGAAGATCGGAAGAAAGAAAATCGAAGAACCAAGAGCTTGGCAGCTTGTGACGACCGGCGCTCCAACCTGTGACCTGCGACCCTTCGCCGTCCACGCCTCTTCGTCTTCGTCCATCCAGACTCCAGCGTCCTTCCTCTCTCGCCTCTCAGCTCTTCCTCCATCTCTGGCGCAGGTGAGTTTTTTTTTTTTTTTTTTTTTTTTTTTTTTTTTTTTTTAATTTCTTAATGTATTATTTTGTGGTTGTGTTAAGACTGTTAACTTGTATTATTATTTTTAGCCTTTAGAGTGTTAGGGTTAGTCCGTTAGTTAATCAATTTAATTATTAGTTGAATTTTTCAGTGCATAATAAAACAGGGCAAAAATTCACCATAGATTTATAATGATTGAAGATGGAATTAAATCTTAGAGAATGATTTATTGATTACTCAATTGAAGAGAATGATTTATTTATTGTGTGGGCTTGTAAGAAAAAATTGAAAATTTCAATTGAATTTTGAAATTGGGAATACTTATTAGTTTTATGTACAACGATTCTTTTATCTTATTACTTTAAAATTTTATATTTTTTTAGAAGTATTTTAATTCATATCAGTATTGAAAATGTTTTTTAGATTGGATTCTCTTCAAAGAGATTTTGTCAACAATATAGATGTAGATTCTATTATTGATGAATTTTATACTTTGAAGTCGCGTAGGGCACAATTTAAGTGTTGTTTTGATGACTTGAGGTATTATTATGTATGTGTCTTTCAATTTTTTTTCCTGAACCCACCCCATTGTAACTTTCTGGATCCGCCCCTGATTTAGTTCATAGTTTATTTTGAAATCTTAGAACAAAATTAATGCTCAATAGGATGTATAGTTCTCACGTATCATGTTTCAAATACAATGAACATGGATCTAAACAAGAATCTTTATTAATAACAATTAAACGAACAAAGAAAAATGACTTCTCATTTTATGCCTTTAAATTGAACCTTATTCTTAACATCATCACATTATTTTCTTTACACTTAGTTTACCAATTTTTTTTGAAGCTGGCTGCTTAACATGCCAATTCAAATATTCATGAAGGTACCTACAAGCAGAAAAACAATTAAATGGTCCAAAGAAAAACCAGCTTCGCTTTTTACCTATCACTAAATCACTAATAGTAGAAGACTATCAGTGATGAAATAAATATTCTCTAAACAAATTCTATTCTTTGTTTTTATAAAAAATAGTGGGAACTGGGAATCAAATTTAGATTTTCCACTCATTTTTCGTAATACGTAGTAAACATAGAATCATTTTTAATATCAATTAGTTTGTTGCAGAAAGAAATATCAATTAATTTGTTTGAATATATTTATACAAATTCGGCATATTTATATCATTTTAACTAAATAGACGTAGATATGTACCAACTCATCAACAGTGCATTGGGCACAAGTCGCACGTAGTGCGTATACCGCTAGTAAATATGATAAAAAAAAGTTGATTAGCTTATGAAAATATACTAACACATTGCAAATTTTCTCCATGATGTCTACTTTAACTAGTTCATTAATATAGTTACAAGTTTCTTTAAAAAAGCAGAAAATGATCATTAAATCTAAGAAGCACATAAATTAATTTATAAGTACTACACCAACGAATATATAGATCTTTAGGAAAAGTACGATGTTTAACACGTTTAGCTTTCAAATAAGCACTCATTGCAGTTTAAGTTGAGTACTAGCCCAAATAAGTCTAATACTCTAATATCCTTCATAACTTTGTTCATCACATTTCTAATGCTGTTAAGCAGTCTTTCACATATAAATTAATAGTATGACATGCACAATGCTGATGAAAAATTTAGTCATCAAAGTAGAAGAGGCGCATAATTCATGCAATCCAAGTATAACAATAATGAATGGCACCAATATTAGTCCTCAACTTTGATGGGTCAAAAATATGACCGAAATCCACTTAGACAAAAAAGTACTCCATAATTGATTAAGCCCATGTCGTTCTGCTTTTCCTTTCGTAGATAGAGTAATTCCACAGAGCAGAACACATCTCCGCACTCCCTCAGCGAACAAAGCCGACACCATCGCCTTCTACAGACAAATCCGCCGCCATCGCCCTCCGCTGTCAGATCCGCCTCCATCGCCCTCCACTGTCAGATCCGCCGCCATCGCCCTCCGCTGTTAGATCCGCCTCCATCGCCCTCCACTGTCAGATCCGTCGACATAGCCCTTTGCTGTCAGAGCCGCCGCCATCAGGCTCCACGGACAGAGCTGCCGTTAGAGTCTTCGCCATCTTCGCCACGTCATCTAACTACAGACGATGAGTCTAATTTGGGGCTGGCGCTGCTGCTGGTGTCCAATTGTGGGGTTGCTGGTGTCCGATTGGGGGCCGCTGTTGCCAGTGTGGCCCGATTTGGGGCCGCCGCCGCTGGCGGCGGTGTTATGGCAAGGATTTTGGTCGCACTGGCCGGAGATGGACCTGGTGGAAGACAGGGACAGGGTAGGGGAGCAGTGGAGGGGGGCTGGGGACAAGGGCTGGCAGCTGGGGAACTGATGTGTAGGGCTAGGGGCTGGTGAACAGCGGCGGCGGCAGCTTGGGCTGGGTTGCAAGATGGCTGTTGTGTTATTGTTGGCAGCGGGACTGCGTAGTGTTGTTCTTGTTGGGCTGGGTTGCGGGCCGGGGAGAGTCGTCGGTGTGGCGGCTAGCTGGTGGCGGCTAGCTGGTGGCTGCAGACATCCATT